TTAATTATTTATTTATTTATTTATTATCCAAGGACATGCTTTAACCTTGAAATTAAATATTTCAAGCTTACCCAACAATTAAATAAAAAACAACAAGAAATAAGATGGAATTAGGAGGGAAACCTAGTTTTACAACTATCATCGTACATATATGCAGCAACACCATAATCATATATATTCTTCAACCCATTGTCTTGATCCATAATTATTAATTTTATCATCAACCACTAACCCAGGGCTTAACCTAAACATGAGAATGCAAAACTCAATCTGATTCAATGCCCCGTCTCCATCCAAATCCCCTTCACTCAACATGCAAACGATCTCATCATCCCCCATGTCATTCAACCCAGAATAACGCTGTTCTTCTTCAAGCTCTCGAACGTTATCAACCCCCGCTGGCCGTCCATCAGCAGCCGGAACCCGTTGCACAGCTCGCCAATGAAACCTTCGGCGCCTAACCGCTCCATCATCGACGGGAAGTAGTCCTCGAAATCGACTGCGATGTTGAGCTCCATTAGGCCAGAATCAGTGTTGCTTCGATAACTTGTGGGGTAAGGTAAGTGAATAGGGTAGGTTAATGGAGGAAGAAGAAGGGAGGGGGTTATATAGAGGGAGGGGAAGAGATTAGGGTTTTTCCTGGAAAGAGAGAGTGCCCATTGAAGACAATTCAATGTACACATAAAGAAAAAAATTGGGGGGGGGGGGGGGATAGATTTTTGTGGTGCCATGGTGAGCTTCTTGCACCTATTATTGGGCAGTAGCTTTTTCATTAGGATTCCTGTGAATACCCTTCTTCCTGGAAGTTGCATGACATATATGTATATATAAAATTTAATATTATGTTCATTTTGTGCTTGTGTTTGAGCTTCTTTTTTAGCATGTCTTTATGCAATGTTAAATTTTGGCAGTTTATGGGCTCATTCCACTTATTCAAATTATCTACTGTGTAAACAAGTTTTTCACGTGTGCTTTTTGAACAGATAGCTCAACAATTTAAGTGAATTTTATTTCGTTAGTTTATACCAAATTATACATTTTTAAAATGGTTTCTCTAAATTTTGAAAAGAGATACTAAAATGAAATAAAAAAATAAATTTAAAATCTAATTTTAAAAAATTAAAAAAATTTAAATATTAAAATAAATCAAAACTGATAATTTATACATTAAATTATCTCAATAATTTTTTTTATTACTTGGTCTAATATATCTCAATAATTGATAGTAATTATTTCGTTAACTTCGATTGTCGTTCCACACGTGTTTCCTATGGTATAGCCTTTTCCCCTTATCAAATAATTACAGTTTTCATTTCTCATTTCTTTTACTTATACTCATGGGAATCTTGGAATAAGTAGAACAAAACAAGTTACTGTTGTTTGACGTAAGCCTAAAGGTAAACTATGATGTGACATGATTTTAGCAATTTCGTAATCTTCAATTTAAAATTTTGTGAAATCTTATCAAATAATTTACGGTTAAATAAAGATAATATCTAATATTGATATTTTTTAACATTTTAAGTAAAACGTTAATTAAAATATTATTTTTTTCTACTAAAAAATTAGATAGTAAAATTAACATTTATAGTAAAAAATAATATTTTAAATAATACTTTATCTGAAATTTAAAAAAAATATTAATATTTTTTGTAATATCTTTCTTTAAACTTATATTAAGACTACAGTAAAACATAACTTCTCTTTCTCTGGATTGTAGTTGAATGGTAATGGATATGATTTTGGGTTAGATTTGAATTTGATTGAGTATAATATTTTTTATTCTTTTTAATCCAGTTTGAATTAAAAAAAATTATATTTGATTTAAAATTTAAATTAATTTTTAAGATAAAAATGTATATTCATATTTAACTTGATTTGACATAAATATATATAGCATTTTACTTCTCTTAACTAAAATAGAAGCATAATTAATTTTTTTGACAAAAATAATTAAAAAAGTTATTAATAAAAAAATATTATATTAATTATTCATACAGAGGGGACTCAAAATAACTATAATGTTTTTTTAACTGATAACTATAATGTTTTAATTGAAATAAAGAAAGTAAAATATTGTAACACCTTGTACCGAACCTAGGAGTTCCAACTGAATTAGGATAGAAACGTTGATCATAGAGATTGTTTACAAACATAATTTTATTTAATAAATTGTTTTAAAAAAATATTTATCAATTATAATATCATAAATAAACGCATGTCACAATTAAAAGAAGGTGAAAATAAATATTTAAACTCGTACAGTATGAAATCAAAATTACACATCTGATAGCCAAACTAATACTACATCTAAATAATCTCATAATGTAATGCAAAAATAGTGTGAGTTATAAATCGCAGTGTGCCCTTTTAAGTACAAATAATTATTAATATAAAAATACAGGTGATCCAAACATGTTATAATAAACAACATAATAATCAGAAAACAATAAAAATAGATATTTATCACTAGGAAATTGTAGACACTCTTTTTATCCTAGATTTATTATAACTATTATTATTATTTAAATATTTTATTTTTAATTTTATTTTTATTACAGGTCTTTACAAGCCCAATTTAAACCCAATTACAAGGGGTCAACCGACCCAAAACTAACCCATCAAAACCTAAAATGATTAGGGTTTTTTAAAACCCTAGTTACCTAGTCTCCAAGCGTCGCCGCCGCCACCACCAGTAAAGTTTCCATCCGCGTCGCTGCAAGAGCCTCCACCGCAGTTAAATGATGCAAAGTCTTTTTTAATTAATTAGCCATAAATTAAACAGTTTAAAATCAACGTGTTCGTCGCCTCAATGCTTTTCAAAAGATTCAATATGGCCTTTGAATTTATTTTATATTTAATGTGATCTTTAAATTAAAAAGTTAATTTAATTATTTGGCTAATAAAATTAGACTTTACAATACCGATATTGGTTCATAATAAATGTTAACGTAACGTATGAATTTAATTAAATATACATGCAGAATAGTACCCTAATTTAGAATACTAAAATTTTAAATATAAGATGAGATGAGACACTACCTTATTGGCAACACAGAATACTACCTTATTGTGCTGTTGGTTTTGTCGTTTGTTCATCAATGTTCCTGACTTTGACATCTCAAAACAAATGTATCCTCGAGTTAGAACAAAATAATTAAAACGACATTAACACAAAATAACATATTTTTTTTATTTAAAATAAATATTTATTTCATTACTAAGAAATCTTTAACCATTAAACTTACAATAAAATTTCATTTAATTACTAATTATAATTTAGGTCAAAATATAACAAATCTCCTGAGTGACTTAAATTTCATCAAAAATTGATCTTCAAGATTTTAACAATTCTAATCTTTACGTAAGTCGCATATCTATTGAAGCATTGTTAAGTCTTCAACAACTCTAATTCTTATGCAATATTCGTTGAAGTATCATTGGATCAATCGAGAATTACTTCATAGCAACTGAACTCTTTACAACAAATTCATCTTGCATTGCATGTCTCCAAAATCGTTAATAAAATCCATAATAATAAATTCTTTCAAAACTCCACAGTCCAAACCATAGCTCATGATACCACTTGTTAGAAATTTGAGATGAAAAAAATAATCAAATCGATATCAACATAAAATAAGACATGCACAAGAGATAATATTTAATGTGGTTCGACCTTGCCTACCAACACGAGTGAGATGAACAACAATCTACAATAAACGTGGAGAATACAAAAAGTATAAATACATGGTATAACATGTATCCCAAAAACCGATATCAATACCAAAACCCGGTGATCCTAAAAATAATTTCTGCAACATAAATCTCAAAAGTTGTATAGATCCCACCCAAAAAGATTACTTCTCTCTAAAATAATTCTCTCACATAACCCTAAAGATAATATATAATCTCTATTTATAAAGCTAAATATTTAGTCACAAAAAATTCTTATTCAAATAAGATTTTTTACTTAAAATAAACATTACTTCAACAAATAAAATCAATTACCAAAAAAAAATCTTCGACCACTAAACTTATAATAAAATCTAACTTAATTGTTAATAATAATTTAGTTCAAAATATTTTTTGGGATAAATAAATGTTTGATTTTTAAATAAAATGAAAAATGGTGTGATGTAAGTGGCACATTATTGAAACGAGAAGGAAAACGAAAACACATCCGAGGTAACTTCGCATTTGTTCTTTCGTTTGCATTATCTGAAGACAAAAGGAAGTCTCAATGCAATTTCCTTAAAACATCTTCGCCATAATTTTTTTTGAATAATACAAATAACATCAAAAATCAACTAAGAGTTTGTGGTTTAAGGGGGTGTACCCAATATTATCCTAGTTACGTTGAAATCCCAGATTTTTCTATATATTGCTTAAGTTATTTGAATTTTATTTAACTTTTTTAAATATTTATGGTTGATATATATATATATATATATATATATAAAATTGTGAAGCCTCTTGAAGCTTGGAAAGAACTTAAAGACTGGATTAGAACGGTCCTTTTCGTCATGGAAAAGTTCGAATGATCCATTATCAGTAAAATTTACTTTCAGACTTGACATTCATGGCTTACCTTATTTAGTCATTAGCAGTGGGTTGGCTAAAAGGCTCCGAACCGGGCCTTGGAATGGAGTTTACTTCGGTGGTGCTCCTACAGTACCAAACTTAATATTAGAAAAGGACTATCAGATTGCCATAATGGAAATGAAAGTCTGAATCTTAAGGAATGTGAAATAAACTGCTTGAAGAATTGTTCTATGTACAGGTTAAACCCAATGGTGGTTGCCTGGTGTGGTTCGGGGACCTAATCGATGTCATCAAGGTGTCCGGAGAAAGCAAGGGATCAGATATCTTTATAAGAGTTCCATCTTAAGAGCTAGGTAAGTATCAGCACTCAGGGTATTCAATGTCCTTTGAATGGTCTTCTCTGTAAGACAATTTCGATGAAGAGGCTATTTAACACATATATGTGTCATATAACAACCATGCAGGGTGTCCTTCCGACCGGACAAGAAAGAACGCTGTAGAGGCTATCCACCAGCAGTTCTGGACAGGGCGTTGATTCGTTGAAGAGTTCATGAATGAAGTAATTTTGATTGCAAAACTTCACACAGAGATCTTGTTGGCCTTTGTGGAAGCTGTATTAAAGGAGATGAGAGGCTTTTGATATACGAATATTTGCCGAACAAAAGCTTGGATTATTTCATATTTGGTTTAGCCCCCTCTTGACCCTTTCATTCTTTTGTGGTTTACACCATTGTTTTTTGAGATTAATAAGTTGAGCAAACCAATGTGCAGATAACAACAGAAGAGTGTTATTGGAATGGCAGAAGCGCTTCAACATTCTTATACAGATGGTGAGAGGACATGTCTATCTCCACCAAGATTCTAAGCTTCATATTGTTCATAGAGATCTCAAAGCTAGTAATATTTTGCTAGACAATGACTTTAACCCTAAAATTTATGACTTCTGCTTGGAAAGAATTTTCGAAAGCGATGACAAAGTCTCGGAAACTAAGAGAGTCGCCAGAACGTTGTAAGTACAACGAACTGTGATGACAGCCATTAAAACAAGCCAAAATAACATGTTATTGATGTTGTCATGCAGTGGTTACATGTCTCCAGAGTATGCAGTAAAGGGTATATTTTCAGTGAAATCTGATGTTTTCAGCTTTGGTGTGGTCTTACTAGAGATAATAAGTGGAAAAAAGAACACACCAAAGCTGATCGATACATGTTTGAAGGATTTGGTTGTTGAATATCAAGTTCTAAGATGCATACAGGTGGGCCAGAGTTTTCCTGAGGATAGGCCAACAATGTCATCTGTAAATTTTATGTCAGCAAATGGAGACTCGACTTTGCCTCGTCCAAAAGAGCCGGGTTTCTTCACCGAAAAGAGTTCGGACGCGGATATAGCAGCACTGAATAATGCAGAGTTACCTACAGTAAACGCAGTCACTATAACAATGCTTGGAGGAAGATAGAAATTCCTGATTGGCTGATTTACTTGGGGAGCTTATACATTATTGAAAAGTCAAGCTTATCATGTTTTGACAAACTGAGCATATCAGGTTGACATTCAGTTGGATAGCAACATGAATCCGAAGATTTCATATTTCGGAATGACGAGAATTTTCTGAGGGGAGGGGATACGAGAAAATACGAATCTAATCGTCAGAAATTAGTAAGTAAAGATTGAACAACGGAATCCCCCCTCGCCGTAATATAAACTTCACGACTGTAATTTGTCTTCTTGACTATTCTTTGCATTGCGTAACTGTGCACAATTATGAACAACTTTCGAGTTGAACATTCACCAGCGAGTGTTGTTTAATGCTTACCAATGAAAGCTTGATGTTACCTTATCCTAAACAACCAGCCTTGAACCAATGGCCAACCCTGCTATCATTAATTTGACCTTCAGCTACTCGATAGCCTTGTTACGAATTCAGGGTCAAATCCCACAAGCTGGAGGTCTCATTCATGCACCTAGAAGAGCATCTCATTGCTGCATTAATGGCTTTCGAAAAGCAAACAGCTATGAACTATTTTTATCTAGCTTTTGCAAGGGTTTTAAACCAATTAAATGCTTGTCCTATTGGAAAATAGAGGTTCAAGACATTAAATTTTCTGTTCAAGTAGAAAGAGAATCATGAATCTGACCAATTCTATTCAAACTTTAAAATTGCGTAGAATGGAATTGACTGTTACAATGGCGGGACACTGTTAGGATTAGAAAGGGCCATGGCCCCCACCTTACCAAACAAATAAAAATATATATATGATAAATTATTAAATTTTATCTCTCAACAAATATTTATTAATAAATTATTAAATTTAATAACTCTATATATATATATAATTCAAAAATTTAAAAATCACTTTAATATCGTTTATTAAGAAGAGTTCATCTTCTTTGAGTTATTTATTTACTTTGAGTTATTTATCTCCTTTAAGTTGAGATTTCAATAAAGTTATCAAGTATTTCATTTTAGTTAAAAGTAGTTTTTTTAACTATTTTTCTGTTGAATAATCGAGTAAAGAAAACGGAAAGAACACAAGAATTTTAACGATATTCAGCAATGTGGATACGTCCTCGGTGCCCTAGGCGGCACTAAAATTTTTATTTAACATCTCATAGGTTTTAGTTACATCTCCTTTTATAATAAATAAACTCTGGTACATATTTATAAAAATAACCCTGTACCGTGATGCGGGGGATGTGCCCTGATGTTTGGGGGCCTTCCACGACATCGTCTTTGGGTGGATCTAGGTATTATGTTACTTTTATTGACGATTTTTTCACGGAAAGTTTGTGTGTATTTTTTGAAACAGAAGTCTGACGTTTTTGAGAAGTTCAAGCTGAGGTAGAAAACCAAACAGGACGAAAAATCAAGTGTTTGCGGTCTGACAATGGTACGGAGTACACATATTCACAGTTTCTAAACTTCTGTAAGGAACATTGGATTAAGAGGTATTTTACAATGCGCAAGACACCACAACAGAATGATGTTGTGGAACGGATGAACAGGTCATTAAAGGAAAAAGCCAAATGTTTGCGGTTGAATGCGGGGCTTCCCAAACACTTCTGGGCTGAGGCTGTTAACATGGCGTGTTATCTTATCAATAGATCGCCAAGGGCATCATTGGCTGGGAAAGTTACAGAAGAGGTATGGAGTGGTCATGATGTTACTTTTGATCACTTACAGATTTTTTGTTGTCCTGTTTATGTGCATGTGCCTGCTGATGAGAGATCCAAACTTGATGCAAAATCGAAGGAGTGCATTTTTCTGGGTTACAAGATAGGTGTCAAAGGACTCAAGTTATGGGATCCAGTTGCGAAGAAAATTGTGATCAGTAGAGATGTTGTTTTTGATGAACATCCCATGTTGCAGTAGAAGAAAGACATGACAGTGGTGAATTTCGAGCAATTTCAAGTTGAGAAAATAGAAACTTCTCAACCGACTTCTGGTGGTTTCGCTACGATTGATTTGCATGATTATAGTCTCGCCAGAGACAGGGTAAGACGGACGAATATAAAGCCTCCAAACAGATTGGGTTTTGAAGACTTAGTCTCTTTTACAGTTATTGTTAGCAGTGATGATCCAATTACTTTAATGATGCTGTTACTAGTCAGGAAAACGACAAGTGGATGGTTGCCATGATTGAGGAGATAAAGTCTTTGAATCACAATCGTACATGGGAGTTAGTTTGCCTTCCTGAGGGTAAGAAGCCTATTGGTTGTAAATGAGTGTATAAGAAGAAACAATCAGTAACAGAAAAAGAGGGGGAGAAGTTCAAGGTTCGTATGGTAGCAAAGGGTTTTTCACAGCAGAAAAGAGTTGATTATGATGAAATTTTTTCTCATGTGGTCAGACACACTTCAATCCGAGCAGTACTTGCATTGGTGACTAGTTGGGATTTGCATTTAGAGCAGATGGATGTTAAAACTGCTTTTTTGCATGATGATTTAGAGGAGCAGATCTACATGTAACAGTCTGAAGATTTCACTCAACCTGGAAACGAATATTTAGTTTGCAGATTGAAGAAATCTTTGTACGGGTTGAAACAGTCTCCGAGACAATGGTACAAACGGTTTGACTCCTATATGATCAAGATTGGCTACAAGCGATGTGAGTATGATTGTTATGTCTATGTTAAGAGCCTTGATGATGGTTCTTTTATTTTTATTTTACTGTATGTTGATGATATGTTAATTGTTGCGAAGAACATGTATGATGTTATCTGTTTGAAAACTTTATTGAGTCAGAAATTTGATATGAAAGATTTAGGTGATGCGAAGAAAATTCTTGGAATGAAAATTTGTAGGGACAGAGACTCAAGGAAACTGTGGCTATCTTAATGGGGTTATGTTGAGAAAATGCTAGAAAGGTTTGCGATGAGCAGCGCAAAACCAGTGAGCACTCCATTGGCGAATCACTTTAAGTTTTCATCATAACAGTTCCCTAAGACAGATAAGGAAGCTGAAGATATGACAAAAGTTTTGTATTATAATGTTGTTGGTTGCTTGATGTATGCAATGGTATGTACTCATCCTGATTTAGCTCATGTTGTTAGTCAAGTTTGTAAGTACATGTCTAAACCTGGTAAACAACATTGGGAAGCAGTCAAGTGGATCTTTAGGTACCTAAAGGGCACTGTGGGACATGAAATTGTTTTTGGTAGTCAGCGAGATAATCCTTTGGTTGTAGGATATGTGGATTCAGACTATGCGGGTGATTTGGATAATAGAATATCTACGACAGGGTATGTCTTTACTCTTGGTGGAGGGCCTATTTGTCGGAAGTCCATTGTTCAATATGTTGTGGCATTATCTACAACTAAAGCTGAATACATGGCAGCGGCTGAAGCAACAAAAAAAGCTTTATGACTTACTGGTTTAGTGAAGGAGTTGGGTGTTCAGCAAGGTGGAGTTTAGTTACTTTGTGACAATCAAAGTACTATTCACTTGGCTAAGAATCAAGTATATCGTGCTAGAACTAAGCATATTGATGTAAGGTTTCACAAGATCAGAGAGTTGGTTGCATCTGGAGAGATTTTGTTTCAAAAGGTACATACTGATGAGAATGTCGTTGATATGTTCACCAAGCCAGTTACGACAGACAAGTTCATGCATTGCTTGGACTTGTTGAGTGTTTCGAGTTGTTAAAGAAGTAAGGTAACCCAACCCACATTAAATGTTTCCTTAGACCGAGGTTCAATTGTGGAGGTTTAATCCCTCCTATCTTAATTTAATAAAAAATACATGTGTCGTGTGACAACATCTGATTGGTTGTTATTAATTTAGTAAAAAATAATTATTTATTATTATTTTTTAAAAAAAAATTATTGATGTGGCATCACACGTGGACATGCCATGCCAGCATTTAGTCTACGTGGATCTGTCACGTCATCATCTACTATAATAGGGACATGCCACGTCAGCATCTTCCTCCACATGTTCTTGTTGAGTCAGCTTCAGACGTTGACCGTCAGTTGACTAACAATTTTCATCCAACGAGAGTGCTTTTTGACCCAAAATGAAACGTGGGGGTCAAATGTTCAAAAAAAAAACAATAAGGGCAAAATTGCATATATTGTCAAACGTTAGGGGTATTTATTTGCATTAAAATTTGTGGAGGTTTAATCCCTCCTATCTCAATTTAATAAAAAATCCATGTGCCATGTGACAACATCTGATTGACTGTTATTAATTTAGTAAAAAATAATTATTTATTATTAATTAATTTTTAAAAAAAATTGTCGACGTGGCATCACACGTGAACATGCCATGTCAGTATTTAGTCTACGTGGATCTGTCACGTCATCATCTACTATGATGTGGACATGCCACATTAGCATCTCCCTCCACATGTTCTTGATGAGTCAGCTTCAGACGTTGACCGTCAGTTGACTAACGTTTTTCATCCAACGATGGTGTTTTTTGACCCAAAATGAAACGTGGGGTCAAATGTTCCAAAAAACAACAATAGGGGAAAATTGTATATATTGTCAAACGTTAGGAGTATTTATTTGCATTAAAATTTTTGGAGGTTTAATCCCTCCTATCTCAATTTAATAAAAAATTTATGTGTCATGTGACAACATCTGATTGATTGTTATTAATTTAGTAAAAAGTAATTATTTATTATTAAATAATTTTTTTTAAAAAAATTACTGACGTGGCATCACACGTGGACATGCCATGTCAACATTTAGTCTATGTGGATCTGTCACGTCATCATCTACTGTAATATGAACATGCCACGTCAGTATCTCCCTCCACATGTTCTTGTTGAGTCAGCTTCAGACGTTGACCGTCAGTTGACTAACAGTTTTCATCCAACGAGGGTGTTTTTTTGACCCAAAATGAAACATGGGGGTCAAATGTTCCAAAAAAAATTATAGGGGCAAAATTGCATATATTGTCAAACGTTAGGGGTATTTGTTTGCATTAAAATTTGTGGATGTTTAATCCCTCCTA